TCTCTAATGTCATGTTATCAAGATCATCATAAGCTTTTTAGAAGGCAACACCCACTATCTAAATCCACCCATGACATTTCAAACTGCAGAGGCAACTTGAGATATGGATGGCATCATTCAAGTAAGGTATCCAAAAAGCTTGGTTGTTTCTGATGGACACAGCTTGAAGGAGGAGGCACAGCACATGGAAGGGGTTGAGACCTGTCTGCAAGCTGTGGTGACCATCAAACAACTTCACTGCACAGCTTGTTTAACCCTGTGGGATGAAGTCAAGACCTTACACCTGCTGTCAATGAGAAGATCCTTATGCTGAGCTGAGCACAAAGCCTGTAAACTGGGCTAGTCACTGGATTAATTCACTTTGATTTCCAGTGATGCTGGGCCTGCTGGGGTGAATACAAAGTCTGCTGAAGGCATGGGAATATTCTCCATTACTTCAGTGGGCTCTCAATACAATCTAACACACAAACATAAAGGCTCCCTGGATGAAAGATGTTTTGGAAGTGTCAGGTGTGAGTCTTGCCCCAAGCTCTTTACCCTAAATGGGACAGGTAAATAATCACTATGAAACCAGGATAGTTGAGCCAGTAGAAATTGTCCACAAAGTGATCAGCAAAGCTGCAGGTCTCTCACATGCCAGATCAGCAATGAGAGAGAAAAACCCATCTTCTCCTGAGACAGGAGCCTCTCCTCAGGTCAGGACCATGGCTGAGGACAGAAGATGAGAGAAAATAGCTGGAGAACACAGCTACAATTTTTGGGAAAGGCTGAAGGACAAAAATCTCAGCCTTGGATTTTCAATTTTCCTCTTAATAAAAAGTACATAGGGGTACAAGGAAACATAGAACCAGCTAATTCAATGCTGATGAAGATGAATTTGCTTTACAGAACTGTCCTTAAAAACTGAATAGTTCAAAACTCATCACAGGAAGTAACTGGTGCAAAAAACCCTACACAGTAAATTTTTCTACACCCTACTTTATCTTCATGGAGGCTTTGGGTCATTAGGCAATTTCTCAGCTGCCTCAGGTAAAAAAAAAATCATCTGGAGACAGATAATTTTCTAATTTTAAACTAACAGATCTTTTGCATTTTAATAGTTCTGGACACACTGACCTCAATTCCCTAGTGAGAGCTTCAGACAGAATACAGAAGTTAAAACTACTGATCTAATTCAATCCATTTTTGCTTTTAGGGAACATTTACAAAAGCAGAGAAAGAAACTGACTTCTTTGAGAGGAAAAATAGTCTGGAGAAAGAGCAGAAAATACACCCATCCTATCTTTAGCTTAGAATACTTTCTTTTTGGTATCACTTTGACTCTCTGCCCAGAAGCCTCAGCATAAGCCTCTTGATTGCAAAAGTCACAAGAGAATCAAGTGTTTGAAGAAGGCTATTGAAAAAAGAGAGATGTTTCCTACTGCACTTTTGGGTCATAGTCTAACTTATTAAACTCACCTCCTTAAAATTTTACTAAGTTTAAATAAGGATTTTTACATTTGGAAAAATTCTGCTTGAAAACAAAGTTTAAAGAATAGGAGAGGGAGAGGAATGATGAATGTAATATAACCACAGGAAAGCAGAGGTGTTTCCTCTTTCACTGTTCTTAATTAAAATAAAATTTTAAAAACCCACTAAAGAGAAGGATTTTTTTACTCCTCTGCTCTCATCAGGGTGATGGCTCTGGGAAAGGAAAGAGTCAGGGACATGGGGCCCTGCTCACACCCCTTCATTTTGGCCACCATGGCTAAGCTGCACTTCCCCAGCCCAAGGTGAGCAGCATCTCCCTGGGGTGGTCCTGTCCCTGGCTAGGGGTGACAAAGGAGCTGTCCTCTGACCTAAAACCTGCTTTGGACTAGGAAGCACCTTTCCTTGCACCTTTCCTCCCAGCACCATCCTGGCTGTGCACCCCCTTGGCACAATCTTAGTCCCGGAAGGACTCTGCCCTCCCCACCCAAATGCTGCAGGACTCAGGAATCTGCAGGGAACTGCACACTTCCCAAACTCTCTTGGGGAGGCTGAAGAGGCTCAAGGAACTAATCTGTAACATGTCAGGTCAACAGTGCTGGTATTTCCTCTTCTGGTCCTTTCTGCTCCAAGATGATTTTTGCTCTAAAGGCACCTCAACATCTTGCAGACAGCTACTGAAGCTGCTTCATCTCTGAAGAGTCACACTGGAGGCATTTAGCAAGTTGCTGCACCCACATAAATACTGTCCCTCTCCCTGCCACTGTCCCCACAGCGACCCTTGACTTCAACACCTCCTTCCCAGTCCATGACAGCCACCTCAACCATCAGCTCTGAACTGAGCCAATTGATAGACAGTTTACCTTTATTCTGCACCTCCTGATAGCCTTCAAGTGACAAGCAGGCATGAATAGCCTTAATCAGCACCCCAAATTAGTACTCAAAGTCTGAGAGTCCCATCCTTTTGCAGTTCTGCTGGGCTGCACTGGATGGAGCTGAATTCCCTGGCCTCTAGTATTCACAAAGGTGTTGATTCTTACAACCCCATTCCTGATCTTTTGTTCCATTCTATGGGGTATTTCAACTGTGTCAACAGTACCAGCTTCAACTCTTATCAGAGCTCTAAAGAGCTGGGTATCATGGAAGAAGGCACACACATCCTAAAATCACTGTGGCACTCTTGTGTCCCAGGACTGGCATGGGTACCTGCCCTGAACTGCACAGACTCAGCACATGATAAATCCCTGTGCCTACATTTAGTGTCTCCAGAGAGAGATCCCATGGGGGATCTTGCATGTGTAATATCTGAGCCAGGCTAATCTAATTTGGTAACCAAATGGCAAAAACTCTCCATGACAGACGGAGTCTTTCATCCTTGCAAAAAAAACCACACAGAACAAACTTTGGAATGACCCCAACTGGCAAAACCTGACTTGAATAGGGAGTTTATTTTACGTTTTAATTTTCTATTTTGTTCTGCTTGCAGTTAAAATAAATGGCATAGAGCTGGTTTATAAAAACACGACCAAACAAAAAAACTCCTTACCCAACAGTACTGCACAATATTTAGAATTCTGCAGGGACCAGTATACATAGAGGGATTTTAATTTTCCATGGCCTGTAAGTGTTATAATCTCCATCAACTGTGTACACTCTGGGACCATGACTAACACCCATGCTTGAACCCTGACTGTTTGTTGGCTTCTTTCTTCTGTCTTTAACACTGTTTTGAAACTCACACTTGCTCCAATAATTTGCGGGAATAAAGAAGTTTTTACAGCAAACGATTCCTCAAAGTCTAACCCACAGGCCTGCTATAGGACAATGTGCCAATAAATCAAAGGTGTCTGTGAGTCCAAAGGCTTTACTTATTAGGAGAAATTACACTGGTGGAGATTAAAAGGTGACACAGGACATTCAGACACCAGGACTGTCTTCATGGGTTTGACTACTAACAGTCCTTTCAAAACATCCATGGCAAATAGTCCACTACATCTTGCTTGGTTATTCCTTGTTTATCATGTGTGCTGTGCCTTAACACTTCAGGAATAGTCACAACCACTGACTTCTCCAGGATCCTCTAAAGTCATGAGCTTTCTACTTTTTCCAACTCATATTCCCCACCTTTAAAGATGTATTCCTACCCAAGATGCTTTCTCCCTTTACTTTTCAGTGCAAGGCTGACCAGAATCAACAGCTCTGGCAGCTTTGGTATGACACACCCTTGGGTTTCAGTGCTCCCACATTAACCACCCTGGTATGTCCTGCTCAGCCACACTAAAACAATGCTTCATTTTCTAGGACTGAGTTAACTGGGACACCAAAGGGGTTTTATCTCCTGTCGAGGCTCCACTTGCTTGCTCAACTGTTCTGCTGAGGAGCAAGTGACCCACAGAGCCCTGTGCAACCCAAGATAGTGATGGCAAGATAAAAATGTCTCAGAGACCTCTGCCCCCATCCACAGACTGAGTGGATTCTCAGTTCTCTCTGGAAGTCACAGAGTTCTTGAATTGCACTTGCTAATGGTAGACTGCTATCATGATTTAATTCTTTCACTGGCAAGACACATACAATACTGTGGCTGTCAAATTTACACAGGTTTGCCCCAAGTGAGTCACTGCACTTGAGACTGTAATCTGGGAATATTGATCAAAAAAAGGAGATGTTGGAGATGACATCCAAAGACCACATTTTCATAGAATTAACTGGAAAGGAGAAAGAGGGATCTCAGTTTGCCATGAAGCATCAAACTGACCTGGAAAGCAGATTTCTGCTCCCTTGAGAGTTTTTAATAGCTTTGGATAACTAGGATAAACAGAGACTGAAGGGCTGCCTGAGACACATACAAAATTATTGAATTATGACATGTTTGAGAGGCTATTTACTTTATAGAGTATTTATATAAGGTCCACTTCCTCTTCATATATAAGCTCAAACATTACAAATATTCCCCCTCCACCCTTAATGAGGGGTCTACATTTAAAAGCCCCAAACATCTATAATTAACCTTTTTTTCAAGAACATCCCTAGGAAAGTTTTCCAGGCAGCCCATTCCTTGTTCCTAGTAACAAGCAATAGGACAAGAGGAAACAGCCCTAAGTGGTGCTAGGGGGGGTTTGGACTGGACATTAGGAAAAATTTATTCATCAGAAGGACTGTCAAGCATTGGAACAGGCTGCTCAGGGAAGTGTTGGAGTCACCATCCCTGGAGGTATTTAAAAGATGTGTGGATGTGGTGCTTGGGCACATGGTTAACTGCAGACTTGGCAGTGCTGGGTTAGCACTTAACTCGATGATCTTGGAGGTCTTTTTGAACCTAAACCATTCTATGATCCCCCAGAGCCTGAGCAAAACCAAGGAAATTCCACTCTCTCACCAGGCAAATGAGGCACGTGTGGAAAGAAAACACAGGGCATTAAAAGGAAGAGGGGGAAGAGGAGTCAGAATATGAAGTGATGACTGGGATATTGCTATTAAAGCAGCTGATTTTTCCTCAATTCTCTGGCCCATCTGGAACAATTCTGCTCACCCACCTGAGAAGTGTCATGGTTGAATATCACAGCATTCAGGTCTCCACAGTTGTAGTGCTTGATGAGATCCTCAGTGGTGTAAGGCGCCTGCAGACTCCCTGCTCGGAGGCTTTCGTGTTGGAGCAGAGTTTGGTTTAGAGCAAACAGCACCTGCAGAAACACAGGCAGGAAAAGGGAGCAAAAGTTAAAGATAGTAGGAATCGAAACAACAAGGACTAAAGGACAAAACTGAAAGACTTTCCTGCACCTGAAGTTGTTCCCTTGATCCATTCTGGCCCACAGTAACAAAGGATGGTCTTTAAGCATTCCCAAATGGAAGAGCATTCAGGTGCAAGCCCCTGTTATATTGTCCATAGAATATAACTGCACAACAGATACACACTGCTCAGAGGCCACAGTCTCAGGACTCTTGGGCTCTCTGTGCTGGTTAATTTGCTTCATGACAGACACTGGAATGGAAATGCCCCTAAATGAGGGAACTTCTGTTGCCTCTGACTGTTTCCTGTTCCCTAGATTAAATCCAAAGCCCAAACTCAGTTGAAAGGTTTTTGAGAAAAAAGTCAAAATCTTCTGAACTTCTGAAGTCAAAGGTGTTGTGTTGGGACTTTGTGCATGCTTGTAGTAACAGAAACTTTAGGAAATTCATTATTTTGTCTTTCCTCCTTCAATCACCTATTTACAAAGTGAGAGCAGAGATACAGATTTGTAACACTGTCTCAACAGACTGGTCCAGAATCTCCATCCCAAACCTAAAAAAAACCCATAAAAAGCAGAAGTACTATTTACTGTGTAATTTTGGGTAACAAAAAAATTAAATGTCCCTTAATATGAGATTTTTTTTCCTTGAATTACCGAACAAAAATAAAAAAAAAACCTCAAGCAAACAAACAACAGCCCCCCACCATAAAAAAAACCCCATGCCCCCCAACAAAAAAAACAAAGCCAAACAACGAAAGGACCACTAAATTTCACATGAGCTACCAAAAATCTTTTTATATTTGTGATAGACTGTAGGAGTAACAGATACCAGTTATTGAACCACCAAGTCTGGGCTTTACATGTTCTGCTTTCCAAGAACCTTCTGAAGAAATTTGATAAAAAGTAGATGAATAAATCAGAAGAACAGCAGTGAAGACTCTTGTCACGAACTATATAAATAAACAAACACAATTCTTCCTAAAATAAAGTGGAATGTGGTGACTGTGAATCCAGAGTTCTGAAAAATTATATTGATGTGTCATTTTTCATGAAAGCCTCCTGTGCCCCTCAGTCTCATATTTCACCACTTTTTGAGCTTTTCTCATTTATAACAGCAGTGCCCCATCCTTCCCAGAGAATAACAATTATCTCAAAATCTGGGTAAGGTAATCCCTGCTGAGCTGCAGTCTGGGACCTGAATTCTTACCTCCTTAAATTTTAGCAACTGAACCCACTTCAAGGAGTGAACCCAGGAAGAGTATAAAACCAGCAATTTACATATTTATTTGCAAGATGAAAGTTTTTCTTAGTTTAAAATTGTGATTCCCATTCAAGTTTATCTGAAGGTGAAGGAAAGGAAGTTGCAAAATTTCATGTATATAAAAAAGAGTATTGGAATTTAATTATTAATAATAACATAGGTAATGTTAATAATAATAATAATAATAATAATAACAAAGGATCTTCAGGGCACTAACAGCCTCAATAAAAAGCTATTACATGCTGACTAACATACACAAACTGGGTTGAGGAAAAGCAAATGCCATTTTTTAATTTACTTGGGGAAAAAAAAAGATGGTCTTTCAACTGAACCTGTTTTACCTCAACTCAGCAATCGGTTCCCCATTAAGAGCCAAGCCTAAAAGATTTCCTTGCCCAGATCTAAGGGTCTCTTCAGACTTTTCTACAAAGAGATCAAACTTTCCCAGGACCATAGCTTAAAGTTAAGCATCTTCCCAACTTAGTTTTTCTCTAATTTAAAAAATATGCAAAAAACACAGTTTGAAAAATTTCTAACGCTTGAAAGGATCTGAGTTTTTACTTTTTCCCCTAAGGGCTACAGTTCGAAGAGGAAATGGTTCATCCCAGGATTTCCTGGGGATTCTAAACATTTTGACTAATAAAAATAAAAGCTTAGAAAAACATTGACAGGAAAAATGAGAGCAGAGGTTTTCCCAAAATGCTTTTAGCAAAATCCTTCTCATTTTTGATTTTTTAAACAATGGATGTTACTGGATTTTTATACACAAAAATATGTATATACACAGGCACAAACACACATATACAAACCACCAACAAACCCTGAGGGCAAGACCGTGTGTTTTATGATAAAATATTAAGAAGGCAATAAACAAATCCTTACTTACTTTACTCTCATGCCTTTTTTCCTCCCCTCTTTTTTCTTTTTTTTTTTTTTTTCTTTTTTTTTTTTTTTTTGTTTTTCTGAGGAAACCAGTCCTGTGCATTAATGCTGTGGGTCTTTCTCCTCCTGAATAAGTTTGGAACCTATTATATCATTTCAGTCAAATTTGCAGGGGGTTAGAGATCTCGAGGAAAATTGTCTATATGTTCCTCAAAAATCAGCCTGTACAGAAGTTCACAGTACAAGTTCACTTCTTATAAGACACCAAATATTCCAAATGAGAGAGAATGAATTATTTTGCAGTTTTTGGCAGATGCCCCCTTCCATGATTTCATTAGTGCCAGGATGTTCATGTCCCTTTCTGCCTCTAGGTTTTGGGACCTAGAGGTGATGCTGGCCACCAGCTGAACCCTTCCAGCATGCTGCAGTCACCGTGGGGAGCTCAGCACTGGGTTCAAGCTGTTGCCTCAAAAGCTACTCCAGAGATTTTATTTTAGGAAGAAAGTTAAAATTAGAAATCCGAACCCTTGAATATGCTAAAGGAAAACTGTAATTAACCGATTTCTAGAGAAGTCTTGCTTAATCAAGCCACAACCACCATGGATTTTGGTTGAGTGGCTCAAAACAAATTTCAAGAGAAGTGGAGTCTCATCACAGTTGCCTGCTCCCTAGCTGGATTTGTAGACCATTTCCTTCAGAGTCAGGTTAAAGCCAGCTTAAAACCTGAATTTATTTTTCCTTACTGTTCAGATAATACCACAAAAACAACGCTGTTTCCTTCCCTTCTCTCTATCTTAATATCAGTGACCCCACGACCTCCAGCCTAATCCTCTATCTGAGTTAAATCTCCCAGAGCTGCCTGAGATTACTGAACAACTGATGACTTCAAAATAAACACACTTAGAGTGACTGCCTATACACAGTCCCACCTAATAAACAGAGCAGATGGGATTTGTTCTGGGAAGCAATGGGAAGTTATGACTTTGGCTCTTGGGAAGTGCATTTTTATTCACACAATTTATGGTCCTCACCCTGGTTGTGTTTGAAGACATTTCTGCATGTCTGTCTCTGGCCCCACTGTTTCTGACTGACCAGCCTTTTAAACTGGGTGGTGTCATTCTCCCAATTCAGGGATTTTATTTGGGTGTTTGGAGGCACCAGTTCAGCCCTCAGGGCAGTCCTGTTTTACTGTCAGTGGGAATGGGTCCCCCTAGTCCTACACAGTGCCAGGGACCACTGGTCCAGACATTTTTGGAATTGTTTTGCACGGCCTTTGGATCTCTCAAGGAAAAGGGGCTGTACCAGTGAGGACCTTCACTAACAGCTTCACTGATCACCTTGGCACCCAAACAGTATTCCCCCTCTCTGTGCTTCTGGATTACAGAGCCAGCAGTCACACAAGAACAGAAGGAATGGGTTACAAAAGCAAACCTCCCATATAAATCAACTTGAATGTTTATGGTTTTTAACTTTCACCTCCAAAAAGATAAAGCATTATAAAACCTCCAAACCACACATAAAGCAAGCAGACACAACTGCAGTGAGTCCTAAGGTCTTGAGGCTGGCACTGCCCAGAAGTGTTGGTATCAGCAGTTGTCCTTGGGACAGTTTGAATTTTGTTTTGCAAACACATTGGTGAGGTTGGAGGCTTGATATAATGTGATGATTTAATAAGAGTTGTTTTTAAGGGAAGTAAACCTAATCTACAGAAACAGATCAAGAGAACCACTGCCACCTTTTCAAAGAGGGAGGAGAAGGGAGTAAGTGTGTACTTGGATTGGGCTTAGGAACACTCGAGCCTTTCCACTAGAAATAATTTTCTTCACTGAACTTGGGTTTGGGAGTAAAGCTAGATCAAAATCCCATTAGTTCCAAGGTACTCTCACAACCATTCATATATTGTGTTTTATTGTGCCAGGCCAGCAGCTTCAAACTGGACATTTGAAGGCTCCTGAAGGCCAGCACCATGTTAGTGCTGCATGTGATAGCCAAGGAGGAGAAATCACAGCCTCTGTGCCAGAGAGATTTCTCCTTATTCATGTTCTGTACATTTGTCTCCAGCTGAAGAGCATAAGAAGGCCCAGAAAACAAAAACTAAGTTAACCCTCATCAAATACATTCCCATTCCTGGTTACATCAGCAGGGCATAGTGGACCTGTTCACCTGTGGAATCAAGTGGAAAGGCTGCCAGGTCCACTTCTTCAATTTTTCTAAGGCCACAAATAATGCCAAAATGGAAAAAAAAGCTTTGTGGGAACATCTAATAAGGAACTGTAAAATAAGACAAGGAAACCTTATTCACAAGTAAAATGCTTGAGTGGTCCCAAATATGCCTATGAAATATATTGCTAATGAAACAGACAACAAATTCAGGAATTACAACGGAAGAAACACATTTTTTTTTAAGCTTAAGACAAATTGGAGCTGTGTTCTTCTGGTGAGTTTGCTATACAGGAGACTTGAAGATGAAAGGCAACCCTAGGAAAACTCTCAGGCCAAGCTTTGCATTCACAGGACTCCAGTAGCTGGAATTACAGGATGACCCCTGCACAGACCCATGATTAATAACAATACCACAAAAACAAGTACTTACATTTCACACTATGATGTCAGCTCTTGAGCAGGCAACTTATTGTTTTCCTATGCTCCCTCTTTTGGACACGTGCCACCACAATGCAAACACTAAATAAGCATTACTGGAAGTGTTTGAGTGACTATATCCTGTCAATGCCCAGACTGCAATTCCAGAAAACAAATACCCACTCTCCTACTTGGTTCAAAATAGACTGCAGCATAAATATTGAGATATACAATTCTGCAGGGATTCTCCTTTTGTAGTTATCCTAATCTGTAATCAAACAGAAAATCAAATATGCAGTTTCAGGTCAAAATAGTTACTTGTGAAAAAAAAAAAAAATAGAAGAAAGAAAAATGCAAGTCCCCGATTTTCCAGATTAATGAAAAGCAATAAAAGTGCTTGCCCAAATCTGTTCAGTTCCATTGCTTTCCAGAAGACGGGTTTCCCCTTTCCTTGAATCTCTTGTGCTATTGCTAGGAATTAGTGAGCTGTGAAACTCACCTAATGAGGTCAGCATCAGGAAATAGCTCTGGAAAAACAGGTCCTGGGGGATCTACTAAAGGACTCCCCCAGTGTCCAAACGAAATCCTGGATGCATCGGCACATTGTACAGCTGGGGCTGTGGGAGGAACGTGCCCAGCTTTGTTGTTGTTTTTCCTATAAAGGGACAGCTAAGGAAAGTGAAACTATTAACTCATCCACTGGAATTTCTACTCACAAACCGTGCCCCCTGTTAAAGCTGCTCATAAAAGCCTTTCGGCTAGTTAGTTCCATATGTTCCCCAAATCCGCAGTTATTGCTTCTGAAAGGCAGGAGTAGTTAACAGTCTGCGGCTTGGCACTGACCAGGGAGACCCACGGACCTCGCTTCCCCCCTCCCTTCCAAACTGCCAATTAACCAGCTTAATAAACCAGTCTGAATCTGACTGAGGCACATGGAGAAACCCCAAACCACCCCCTATCCTACAGTGGCTGTGACACTGTGACACAGGGTATGGCCCAGGGCAGAGCAGGCAGGCCACTGATGTGCAGCCACAGGACTAAGATTGGTTTTCTTGATGCTGGGAAAGCTGCAGGGACATTGATGTCACAGTCCTACATGCCCAAAGCTTCAGCTGAAGTTGAACTCCAACAGCTTGACTTTAGCCTCCTGACTTTTCTCCTTATGTAGATATCCCATGATGAACTGGCACAGACAAAAGTAATTTTGTTTTTTTGTTTTTGCTGTGTTTTCATTGAATCAATAACCAACAGAAAATTTCTAGATATCAAACACTGCATGAGAACCCACTCTCTCAGCCTTAAGTTCCTCAGTCCAAAAAGGAGTCTCCTGGTTGATGGCAGCTCACACATTCCCTGGGCTGACCCTACTACACTATTGCTTCTGCTCCAAGTTCCTGGCTTCAGTAGGGCTGGAGCAGGCACAGGCTTCAGTGAGACCTGGAGAGGAGCCATTTGGGGGTTTGGTGGGTTATGTGATAGAACAGGAAAAACAACAACAGTTGGGCTCTTAGATGCAATTCTTCTCTTGCACAAGGTCATTAAGACCACAAAGACATGGAGTTAATTTCTGTCCTGAAAGCACTTCTAAAACTTATAATACACTATAAATACCACACCCACTCTAAATAGGTCAATAAAAACCCAAAAAAGGTCTTAAATATGTAACCTGAAGTAAGCAGCAGCTGTAGCAAAGGCAGTATTAGAACAAGGGTAAGATCTGAAAACTTTTATTCTAATGGCAGTGACCTCAGTTACTTGCTAAAGGTACTTAGAGTCCAGATTAACATAAAAGAAAGGGTGGAGGGGAAAGGGCTTTGATATGGAATTTCCATCCTTTTCCCTTTTGTGAGCCACCACACTGATGGAAGGATGTTTTAGTTTCAATGCCCTCACCACATCATCAGCAGGTCTCTCTTGCCAGTAACTCAGCTTGATGTCCAACCAGTCACAGTGTGAGTGAGCAGTGACTCTGTAGGATAAACTCTGCTTTGGTCAATGCCCACATTCAAGCTTAGGGAAAGAAATGAAGAAACAACAGGAAGACAGATTTGCATTTTAATCAGAACTGAAACTCTGGAAGGGACAGAATTACTTCTGTTAAATTTGCAATCTAAATGTAGGACCTGTGTGGCTCTTGTATGCAGGATTTACTCACATCCAGTACTTCTGCATGGCTCTTGTTTCTCAGCTGTGCTAAGCTCAGCAGATTTACTTTGATAAGTAAAAGGCTAAATATTTTCACCAAATGAGTTACACTCTGAACAGTCTAATTCTGCAAATGTTTTTACAGTGAAGTGCAACCAGTTCCAGGAACCAACACCCTGCCCAGCAGTGATGGCTTGCAGGTCCAAGTGTCACTTTTAGACTTCTGCACTGGAGTCTTAGATCTTGTAAACAAAAAAGTAAACACTCAGTAAAATCAGTTCATACTTCTGGCATGAGAGAGAGCTCTCTTGAAGGCAGGTTTAACTCAAGAGTAGTTCTAAAGAAAATTCCTTCTCCCTAGAACAGGCAATTTCCCTAGAACACACCTTAGCTATTCAGTTATGTGACCTAAAGAAAGATACTAGACAACAAACATGAAATTTTGATCAGTAGCCTAAAAATCACATATTTTAATCAAGTCAGACATGATGGTGTAAATTGCTTGGGCTTCTTTCTTTATACCCTTCATGTTAATTTTTGGCAAAGCAGTAACAGGTCTGAGGAGTAACAGGGCTGAGGAGCTGGCAACTGGGTTTGATTTTAAACAACCCATAAAATATATCAGAAAGACCACCGTGAGGGCAAAAGGCTGGAGTGCTCAATAGGTGTGAATGGATCCAACTCCACAAAGAGAAAGGAGATGGACTGTTTTACCCTGGATGACTAAAGCAGCAGCTCTGATCATGTGAAACCAGGCACAGAAGGCAGAGACAGAAATTTCTCACCCAAACAAAGCAGGCAGAGTTCCAGTGGGACAAACTGGACAGGATCCTGCCAGTATCTGGTGCTGCCCTGGGTTGGCTGCCAGCCTGTCTCCTCCACACCTCTGGGTCCCCACAATCTCCCCCTGTGCCACCACCCCAGCAAGCCTTGCTTGGCCTCCTGCTCCACTTTGCCATTCCTGCCCTGGGGGTATCTCACCTTACTAGTCAAGAGCAAACCCCCTGTATTGAGAAACCCCAAATACTGCCCCACTGTCAGGGAATCCCCCCAACACACACAGTCCATGTAACACAAGAGCTCTGTGAGCACTGGAAGTTTGTGAGGAGGTTTCAGGAGAAGAGCAGTGTTCCAGGAGAGGTGCCGCAGCGTCTGCAGCACGTTGCTCAAAGGTGTCACTGAAACAAGAACAGTCAGCCCAGATAAGCCCAGCATCCCCAAAAGTGTCTGCGAGCAGATACTTTGGGAAAGCATGTAAGAAATGAGGTGAGCAGAGTGTGAACTCTTCTCAGACAACACTTCCCATCTTCTGGAAATCTGCCAATTGGGGACCTTGTGGATGAAAATACCTCTTCTCCTATCACTCCTTCCCACCCACCTCCCTGCTCCCCATGCCTTCACCTCAAAATTATCCCCGTGCTTGGTAGCACCACTCTTCTGAAGAGCAGCCATCTGCCTGCTCTACGCAGAGAGGAGCTCTCAGCCTGCTGCTCTGCTCAGCAATTTCATTCTCAAATGGAAGGCTGGCAGGATGCCCGAGGGGCAGCGCCCACGATCACTTTTCTGCACCTTAAATGGGCACATTGTCCCTTCACCTTCAGAGGGGGCACATGAAATCCTTCCCAAGAACCTGAAACCACGTTTGCGCTCGGCTCACGAGTAAAATTGTTACCGGGCCCTTCTGGGGTTTCGATTTTTCTTTTTTTTGTCTGTACTGTAACAGAAGGAATGTGGGAACATGCCCTGAGTGGAGCAGACCAGTGACGAGTGAACTGCAATGAAAGGGGCACCCTCATGGAAAAAAGCAAAGCTCTGGGGCAGTTTGGGGAACTCCCAGCTCTAGACACCCAGCCCGAGACATTTTTTTAAAAAGCCTAGTTTCATGATATGCTAAGCATCCACCCACTGAAAAATGCAACCTGTCCTGGGTGTATTTAATTTGGGGTTTATTCATATTACTGCTTAATTTTGAACTGTTGCTTTTTAATTACCAGCTGAAGCTACATAGTAAAATGGACTAGCCCCACAGGCATGTTTTTCTTTCTATTATATTACAGTGAGGCAGCAGATTAACTCCTTCAGCCATCCCAGCTTAACACCTCTTGATGCCAGCATGGCCCCCTTCCAGACTGCAGCTCCTGCAGCAGGAACGGCTGGAAGGGACACAGATCTTTATGTCCTGAGTTTCCAACTCCCAGCCTGGGGTATCAGCACAAGCAGGTGCCAATTTCAATATGCATCTATCCTGGAGAGTAAATCACAGCCCATCAGGAAGGAGAGCACTTTCCAGGGAGCCAGACTGAGCTGCAACCTCTGGCCAAGGACAAACACTTTGGGGCAACAACTGTCTCAGCTTTCTGGTCTCCACATGAGCACCACTGAGTTGACAGCTGTAGAAAAGGGAATGTTTCCTAAGCCTGAATGGGGCTGAATCCTCATGGGGTCCAGAAGGGAAAATGGAAAAAAAAAATAGAAATTACAGTTCAGAGCAGCATAAGAAAAGGAAAACTTCAAGAGGAAGCAGGGAACTGAACTCATCAGGGATAAGCACTTGTTTTGAACTGTTGCTTTTCCTTTAGCTTAGCATTATCTCAAGATGAAATAATTTTATTATGCAAGATGTTTCTGCCATTGGGGTACACTGTGACCAGGCATGGAGTACCCCATGTCTGTTAACAAACACAGGGCTTGATCTGGCACCTGCTCTCTCTGGGTCTTCCCCACCTGGAGAAACCCTAAAACAGGACAGATGATGGGACCCCATCTGCTACAAGGCACAGAGGTCCCTTACCAGAGTGGCCTTACCAGGACAGCCCCTCTTTCCTCCTGGGAATTCACAGTTACATCCTCGGGGTCAGGGCTCCAAAGCAGAGCACAGGAGATGGGCAGTGCACTGCTCACCCCTCTCCAGTGCTGCCTCCCTCTCCCAGAGCTGCAGCATCCAAGTGTGGAAATGCCTGAAGCTGCTGTTTCCCTCAAGAGTGCTGCAGCCCTGGTGCAGTCTACACAAAAATTACTCAAAATTCAGTTAGCCAGGGAAAGAAGGTGACCTACCCATCAAGCCACAGCAGCTCAAATTTCTAATATCATCTACTTGCAGCCAAGCACTTGCCTTCAAATTAAGCAGAGGCCAAGAATAATTACTTACTATTCACTGAGATATTTACATCAATTATTCAGCAAATAAATTCAGCTAACAAATAGCTTCAAGGAAACTGCAATCTATTCACAGTCAAGTTGCCAAGTCAGAAGAAAATTATAAAATTAATTATTTGCAACAAACTTCTCTGTTAGCTTTCAAAGTCAGAATAATAAATTTAGACACTTTATTTTCTACTATATATGGCTCCCTCAATCTAATGCTCCTGTTTA